AGTTTCAGTTTGAGATCTCTTACGGAGAACATAACCTGCCCCGGAGCAGGTTAGCCATGGAACGCAAGTTACTATGGCGATGAAGACCGGTAAAAGCCGAGCCACTTTCATGGTGCCTAAAACCCAGGGTTGGCACAAACTAAACTGAAACTTACCTGTCTAGCCACCACCTAAACCCGCTTCATGGTATAGGCCCCAGGAAAGCAGCAGTTTTGAATATGGACAGATACCTGGATTTTGAACTGCTCCATTGTTTGACATGCACGCTTGGGTAACAGACACCACAAACCATGTTACAGCCACCCTTTGGCAAAAGGAATCTCAGACGTAGTCAGCAGGATTCGAACCTGCGCGGGGAGACCCCAATGGATTTCTAGTCCATCGCCTTAACCACTCGGCCACGACTACAGCAGCTGTCAGGCTCAGCGTGGAACAATGCCTGAACAGTTGGTTCATTGTGCAACCATCTGTGGGCAGTGCTGTAAAATCAAGCCAGTGCTGTAAATGGACTACAATGACCAGTTTTCACCCATCATCTAGCAAACAGAAGCTCCTACTCTTCAGCATTCGAGCCTGTGCAGGGAGACTTCAATGGATTTCTGTCAATATCTTAACATGCAACAACAGACTTCAGTATGAGATCAACCATCACCAAAGTCAAGCAATGGGAGAGAATGTCAAAGGTCAGAAGTTTTTGTTAAGGACACATACCTGGATTTTGAACTGCTCCACTGTTTGTCATACAAGCCTGGGTAACAGACACTGCAAAAACAGGTTTCAACCCCCCTTTGACCAAAAAAAAAACGTAGTCGGCAGGAATCAAACCTGCATGGGGGAGACCCCAATGGATTTCAAATCCATCAGCTTAATCACACTCCAGTGATTGGACTGTCGAACTGTTCCTAACAATTTTTTACAAGTCATGACACATTCTAAATTATTCCTAACAAAAGTCCTAACAATTCTAACATTCATGGTCTAAGTCCTAACAATTCCGAATGGTACTCGGGGGAAAATACAACAGGGCAAAACAGCCATTGCCTGGAACATAGTCACATAAAGGATGTGATTAAAATAACAAAAAGAGAAAAAGTGGTCCCCGGACCCATTCATGATCCCAACTGCCCGGAGTTAAGAGTTAAAAAAAAAAAAAGCTGCCAGAGATAACGTGGCTTTTTCTGATGAGCGTGAAAACTTGGCGCGAAAACTCGAAAACTTGGTACGGAAATTCGGCACGAAAACTTGGTTGGGCGTCTGAGCAGTCAAATACACTTAAAATTTAACAAAATTCCTGTCCTGCCTAGTATTTCATTTAAACACAACTGATTATGTCTTAAGTGAAGGTAAACAGCTGGAAAGAGTTGGTCATGGGTGTCAATATATTGGATTCAAACAGTAAAAGAGAAAACTCCACACTGCTCTTAACCGAGTAACTGCTATAATGTCTGGGGTCAAATTGACCCCAAAGCAACTTCGACATCTCTGAAAAATATGCTAATCATATTTTTAAACCTTGAATCTGACTTTTGCTGAATTTTTTAGATGAACTCATAAACATGCACATCTTGTGTTAGAGTTTTTGAAATGCATGTACACATTTTGACCCAACCTGTGATATCTGGGGTTATTTTGACCTGTTGATTCTCATGGATTCTGCAGGAACTCAGAATTCAGAGAACTCATCATGGGGGAGGGGCATATCTATAAAAGAACATTCACTCACACACACACACACACACACACACACACAGTCCAGTCCAGTACTATAGTGCTTTCTGTATGAGCATTGTGATTCTCTGTCTACAAGAATAATTACCACAAGATACACTGAGTGAAATGTTAACACAGTATTTGGATGATGTGAGTGATTTGGAAAGGGAAATGTCGGAAACTGTAGACAGTGTTTTCAATGATCCTGACTAGTATACATGTATGCATACAGTATATATGCATTGTTCCTGTTGTTCCTGTTTCTTTATTGTTCTGATATGAGGTGTTTTGGGGAATTAATATAAGAAAAACTGTTTTGACTGGTAAAACCGGCCCTAAGTGTAATAAATGTTATTTTCCTAAATATCTGGTAAATTCATGTGCTTCAAGACTTAAATATTAATTAATGTAACAGACTGAGAATACAAAAAGCTCAAAATAATTTTGTACTCAGTTGTGATTTTGCAGGTGTAATATGTGATTTTTCTATGTAGACAGAGCAATTAATTAAATATGCAAATAAAATATTTAAATAGTAAAAGAAATATTTATTTAAAATATTAGTCAGAAGGGACAATGTGAGTAAACAAGAAACCACTGATGAGGGAGCTGGCCTAGATGACTTGTGTCAAGGCATCGTCAGGTGCTACAAGATGCTGAGGAGCCAGAGCCAGATGTGATTTATGTTGACCGGGATTGCTGCAGCGAGACAGATGTGTGACCTTCAATCCTTTCCTACCGGGAATTTTTATTTCTTATTACTGATTCTGCAGCGGATTTTCTCAAAAATTGCGGTGATATTTGCTGCATTTTCTGTGTTTTTGTGATTTGTGGAGGAGTGAAAATCCACCAGTAATCAATATGTAATTTGTGTTAGGAGTATGTTAGTATTTATCTGTTTCTGTCACGTGACTTTTTTCGTTCATCTGCCATATTTATGACCATCAGCGGAGAAATGTAATGGCGGTGAATACAAAAACACAGAGATACCAAGAGAAAACGACGATCATTGGATTTGATCCATACCATGTCCCAGAAAACATTCTATTTAAGGGAGACATGTTTTATAGGCATTCAGTGGGCAGTCCTTACAGGTGTTGACCTTATACAAAGGCTTAGAGATGATATTCTCACCTGTAGGGGAGGAAGGCTTCACTGGAGTCAACCCCGACTATTAGCTACCTCACACTTGCTTATCACTAAATAGTTTGTTCACTGTCTAGTAACGAGAACTGTAATATGCCAACATTCACGCACAGTTTGATTCTCCTCAGGGTGGAGAGGACAGTTACAGATGGAGGAAAACACAGATAAGTAATCACTGATCAAAGAAACAGACAGACCCATTCAACTGTAAAGTCTAACTTTAACCTAATCATATAACAGATGCTATTATGTTAAACTTGAATGCCCATAAGCAATGTATATCACTCTGGTGTTTCATGTGCTGATATGGGAAATACAGAGGATTGACCAATCCCCCTCCAAATATTTACTTAAATGCAAGAGGATGACCTCGCCAGGTCCATGGAGAGCTTCACGGAAGCGTAGTCGTTCAGCCCCTGGTTAGCAAGCAGCTGAGAGGTGAGTTGACCTTTAGTGGATGCACATTTTGTAAATTGCGAATGTAATTAGTCTACAAACTTACAAAGCTCTAATGAACAGCCCTCTTCAACCCTCTAAGACCGTAGCACAGACCCTAACAATCAGTTAGACTTCTACTGCCAGTCAAACTACATGCTGTTTTTATCTGTAGTATTTATCATTGTAAGCTAATTACCATCAATTTAAAAAAACTGACTTGTGCCAAAGCTTGGAATCAATCACATTGTACTCATACTGTAAAGCCAGAGGAGAACTAATGTTGCAGAAAAACGTTTGTGTGTTTTTTCTAGACTGCTTGACAGACAGAAGAGAACTGACCAGGACACCTTGCTGCAAGGAGTGGAGCTTCCCCAGCAGGTCAGTTTGGCAAAGGATTCACTGCCAAAAGCTAGAGGGCTCCCATCTTCACCTGTGGAATATGCACATGCTGTCATTGAGTTCCAGGAGCCTGAAAATTGTGAGGGTGAGGCAGTAATTTGCCAACGTAATTGTGTAAGAACAGCCCTCTTTCTGGGACTGCAGTGTCTTCCATTGCACACACAGACACTGGGGTAGGAACTGCACCTACCACCAGCTCCAGTCACGCAGCATACGAACATCTTTTTTGGCCTGGGGTCCAGCACTGTCCTGGGTGGAATACCTGGCCTGGGTTTTCTGACTGGTTGTCCGATCAGCAGGGTCATCAACCATCAGCTCCTACACTGCTGTCTCAGGATTGACAACATGCCTGGAGACTGTGAAAGGCAGCTGTTGAGGATCAAGAGTGTATGGCAAGAGGGGAGCCAACAAAGGAGTGGCAATCAAAAGAAGGCTACCGCTATCAGTGCAAAACGTGGTCAGTCGAAAAGCAAACTTACTGGCCATACCCAGGTTAAAGGAAAAAGGTACTGTCCAGCATCTGGGCAGACCATCACCAGAGTGGAAAGACTCTCTTTAAAAGCTATAAATTTTTAAATTTCTTTCAAGCTTTTGTTGTAACCTGTAAGCTGTCTGTGTAATTACTGAATGAGGACACTTGAGAAGTCTGCATATTACTCTACCTCACACACACAAACTATGGACAAAAAGATTCTACTCTATTTTATTCATTATATTCTGTTTTATTTTGTATCACTGTTGCACTGTGGGATGAGGCACTAAGGAAAAACATTTCACTACATTAATACATCACATGTATGTATGTATGTATGTATGTGACAGATAAAGAACCTTGAACCTTAATTTTTATGGAAGTAAGTGAATATGTTTAGAGAACAGTGAAAGTGAAAGAATTGTCTTTGATAAGTAATAATATAAATGGTATGTCAGTTGGAATAAAGTGTATTTGGAGAAATAAGTGTAAAATGTTAGTCTTTCAGTTTTATGAAAGCGTGTACAAAGAATTTTATATTAAGTGAAAAGACATTCATGTTGACAAATCAGAATATTATTGGTATGTCTGTTTTGAACTTTTGGGAAAACAAGGTGAAAGTGTTGACCTACCAGTAACTTGTTTCAGTGAAAAGTAGAAAAGTGAATAAAACAAGTGAAAAGACTTATGAAAGCAATAAGTGATTTTCCTTTATCCCTTCCTTTTGCCCCACCACTAGCAGTCCATTTTGCCCTGTTTTAATATCTTAACATGCAACAATGGACTTCAGTATGAGATCAATACACCATCACTAAAGTCCAGCAAAGGGATAGAATGTCAAATGTGGGATTCAAACCCACACCTCCAGAAGAGACTTCAACCTGAAGACAGCACCTTAGAACACTCAGCCATTCTGACATGCAGGTGTGGAGGCCAGTTGTGTTGTGATCCTTTCCCAGGTCGTATGTTGCACACATGCAGGTGACACTTGGTTCTCTGTTCAATTACCTATGGGCAGTGCGTTGTCATACAAGCTTGGGTAACAGACACCGCAAACCAGGTTTCAGCTGCCCTTTGACAAAAAAAAAAGAAAACTCTAGCGTAGTCGGCAGGATTCGAACCTGCGCGGGGAGACCCCAATGGATTTCTAGTCCATCGCCTTAACCACTCGGCCACGACTACCACACCTACCAGGTTCACCGTTGAACAATGCCTGAACAATGCCTGAACATGCTTTGATGCACTTCATTTCAGAAATTACAGGCTTCAGTTAGGGACCTTGCTCAGGTTTTACACCAACAACACAAGAAGGCAATGTAGTTGGTTCAGTGTGCAACCATCTATGGGCAGTGCTGTAAAATCAAGCCAGAGCTGTAAAATGAACCTTAGAATCAAAGCAATGACCAGTTTTCACCCATCTTCTGGCAAACAGAACCTCAGACCTACTCTTCAGTATTCTGACCTGTGCTGGGAAACCTCAATGGATTTTTTTTCCTATATCTGAACATGCAACAATGGGCAACCCCAAAGTTGCGTGCAGTTACTGAAGGTGAGATCAGTTGTCCAGGGAGATTGCAAGATCCTGACATGGGGATGAATCACCTGGGATGAAGCAGTTCAGTTTTGCTGGGATTAAGTTTCAGCTTATGAGCTGTCATCCACCATGAGATGTCTGCCAGACATGCTGAGCCCTGAGCAGAAACATGAGTGTCTGAGGGAGGGAAGGAGAGGATGAGTTGATTGTCATCCGTATAGCTGTGGTATGAAAACCCATGTGAGAATATAACCATAACAAGAGATCGAGTATAGAGGGAGAACAGAAGAGGACCAAGTACTGAGCCTTGTGGGACACAAGTGGAGAGTCTTCTGGAAGCAGATGTGGATCCCCGCCATGTCACCTGATATGACCGACCTTCCAGGTAGGAAGCAAAACCACTGCCATGTGGCACCATGAATTCCAAGAATCATGAGGGTGGACAAGAGAATCTTGTGGTTCACTGTGTCAAACGCTGAGAAAGATGAAGACTGATGACAGTTTGGCTGATCTAGCAGCATGTAGCTTCTCAGTGACGGCCAGAAGGACAGTCTCTGGAATATGCCGCTTCGAAGCCAGACTGGTTGGGATCTTGGAGGCTGTTCTCTCTCTCTCTGTGTGTGTGTGTGTGTGTGTGTGTGTGTGTGTGTGTGTGTGTGTGTGTGTGTGAGAAAGAAAGAGAGCACGAGAGAGAGAGGATTGTAGAAAGTTTGTTTGAGGATTTTAGAAAGAAAAGAATGAAGTGATACCAGTCGGTAGTTGCTGATGTCAGAGGGATCCAGAGTGGGTTTCTTCAGGATGGGAATAACCCTTGCTCACTTGTGTGCAGTTGGTACATGACCAGATGTTATGGAGCCATTGATAGTAGTGATGAAGGGGAGGAGGTCTCGTGAGATGGTCTGGAGCATTGTGGAAGGGATTGGATCCAGTGGGCAGGTGGTGGGGTTGCAGGACAAGATGACTTGCAGGATCTCTTCTGTTGCTAGTTTAGAAAAATGTGCCAGCAAAGGAGAAGGGGAATCCTGAGTGTGTAGTGTAGGAGTTGGGGTAGAAGTGAAGGTCTGGCAGAATCTTCCCATCATAAAAAGTGACAAAGTCTTCAGCAGTCAGGGAGGACAGAGCAGGAGGAGCTGGTGGGTTGAGTAGTGAAGAAAAGATGTTGTGGAGCCTGCAGGGATCTTGTGCAGAAATTTCCAGCTTTTCCTTGTAGAAGGCAGTCTTAGAAGAAGTCACTTCAGATGAGAAATTGGAAAGGAGAGCATGGTAAGAAGCAAGATCTGTGTTGAGTTGTGATTTCTTGCACTTTCTTTCTGCTGTACCTAAGTCTCTCCAATTGCTGTGTAACACATCCGATAGCCAAGGAACAGGGCAAGAAATCTTCCTGGGTTTAGAAGATAGTTGGTTGGTCCATGGATGAGGAAAGTGAGGAGAGCAAAGTGTCTGTGGCTAACTCCAATGGTAGGGAGTAAAAGGAGTCAGGGTCTGGAAGGGATGATAGGGTTCAGGAAGGTATGGAGGAAGAGGAGATAGAGTGGAGGTTTCGATGATTGGGAGAGAAGTATTGATAGCTGGTTTTAGACAGGATAGGGAGGGTGATGGTGAAGGATTGCCAGGGTGATGGCAATTGATGATTGGAGATCTGGAGTGTGGTAGCATTGATGTCTGTAGCAGGAGAGGAGTGGCTGAAGACCAGGTCCAGGGCATTTTCTCCATTGTGTGTGGGAGGGCAGCTGTTGAATGTCAAGGAGAAGGAATGCAGAAAAGGGAGAAGGGACTGGAGCTTGTCAGAGGGAAATTGAAGTCACTGAGGACAGTAAGAGGGGCACTGTCGGTAGGGAAAAGACTGAGGAACGTGTCCATTTCTTCAAGAAAGTCCCCTAGGGAACCAGGAGGGTGGTAGATAACAATGAGAAGGTTGATCAGGGAGGTAACTGTAACCACATGGAGTAAAAGGATGAGATGTTGAGATGAGACAGGGAGAGAGGTGTGAAGCACCATCTCCGAGACAACAGCAGACCTGTACCACCACCCCTGCCAGCTTCTCATGGAGTGAGAGAGAAAGCATAAGCAGATGATAGAGCAGCCAGTGTAGCTGAGTTCTGTGGAGAACTCCAGGTCTCAGTTAGTGCCAGAAAATCAAGAGAGTGATGGGAAGCTAAAGCTGAGATGAAATCAGCTTTCTTTACAGCAGACTGGCAATTCCAGAGCCCACCTACCACCACTGTTTGAGATTGAGACAACAGAGGAGGGTAGATGAGGTTACCGGTAGTTCGGCCACTGGTTTATGGATGGGAGCTTCTGGGTCTGTGAAAGGTGACAACAGAGATGGGATTGTGACATGTCTGCAGCCTAGTCAGGAGTGGAGTTAGTGAAAATAGGGCTGAGAGGGAACTGATAACACTTAACTGAACAAGAAATAAACACTACTGAACTTGATACTTTCTATCTAAGTTTAGGCCTTTAACTGTTGCTTCTGATGGATAACCTTTGATATATCTTAGTAAGCCCTGCCCACAATTCACACCTTAAGAGAGACTGAAACTACTCTTGATTAGCCACCTGAGAGAACTAATTAGCATAGACCAACAGACACTTCCATGCAACACTACAGAATCAACAATAATATACAATACAACAATTCTGTTTTACAACAGTGCTTTGACCCAGCCTCTCAAGGAGAGCAGCAGTTTTTGTTAACACTGCAGTATTGTGAATTTGTAAAGCACAAATTTTGACCAAATAGTTTGACTTCATGTGCTGAGTCAGATAGCAGCAATAAAAAGCTTTGAATAAATGTGCGTGTTGAACATGATTATGTAAGATTTGTATTTTTTTAGCAGTTACAATCTGAAAGTACACTACAATCATGTGCCACAATGTGAATACATACAACATTTGTGATGTTAGGAATGGCATGCAGAAATACCTGATGAGTTTGTGGTTGGTGTGCACCATGTACTTGGGATAAGGAATAGAGTATGTTCTTTGAACAGAACATCTCAGGTTGGTCATTCTAGACAGAAGAACAACACTGTGTACGCCATGCATGGATGCACTGCACACAGTGTCCCTGTGCAATTAGAGCCCCTCGAAACATGCAGTAACCAGCATCTGGCATAGGGTTCTTCACTTCAGTGACCAGGGCATCAAGCTCATCATCAGAACAGCTACTATACAAGGATCTCACAGATAAATTGTTTTCAGCCATCCTTCTAAACAAGGTTACACAAGAGATAGCAAGTAGTTTGGCAACAGATTTGAGTGGCAGCCTGAGTTCTATGGGGTGGGTGAGTGTGTCCATTGAAATTAAAATTCTTGGACAGCCACATCCAGGTCCTGTTTCCACCTCCACTGTCACAGATACCTCCTTACTTTCCCTCTGAGGCTGTATGAGGATGTTAAGATCAATGAGGGCTGGCATGACATCTTCTGTCAGGTTATTTATATCAGCCAGAGCACTAAGAAGAACTAGTTCCTGTCTGCAAACAAATTGTAAGTAGTCAATGTCCAGAGACTATCTCTCCAAGACACATACTACATGATCATGCAGTTGTTGAAGAACATAGTGCTTCAGTGACTCCTACGGAATCACGAAAAAAAGAAGAAAAAAAAAGGTTACAGACAGTATGTAACCTATTTGAGTTTTAAACAAGGGTTTCTCAATAATTGTCCTGATGATGTGTGACTCATTTAGGATGACAGCGCTTCTTTAAAATAATGGGGTTGTCAATAATCCTGTCCTTTTATTTGCATAAATTCATTCCTTTATTTTTTTTACTGCTGGAGGAACTGGATATCAGAGTAGCTGACTTTCCATACATTCAGACTCCTATGTAATCATCACATAACCATGTAAAACCAATATTCCACTATGTTTCATTATCAAAAACTACTACTCTCAATGTGTTTTGAATTATAAAGAACTATGAGATATTCTGTGTAGGAATCGAGACTATCAAACTGAAGAAACTGACTGTCTCTCCAACCACACACAGGACAAAGACATTCCTTCACACCCAACGGACCTAAGATGGCTCCAGCCTGTCTAGGCTAAACGACAGGTCGTTAAACATTAAGGGATGCTAACGGTCATCGGAATGCAGAAAACCCCAAAAAAAAGGGTGTAAATTACCCCTTGGTGGAGCTGACCTCGAATTGACCACCCTTAACAGAGGCCTTTTGTTTGGATTAGGGAACTGGCTGAGATTTATCACACTCCACAACACACTACATCCTGCTGAGGTTGGAATGACCTCTTGTACTCAACTGAATCAGCAAAAGGACTCCATGCCTAAGACTCCTCCACTGTGTAAGAATGTTCTTCTCTTTCTTTGTATCTCCCTTATCTTATTTCAATGTAGTTGCTGGGTTTTGTATTAAGTCT